GTGATGTCCCCAATCGGTCTTCTCTGCGTATGCTCAATCCATCTCCTTTTTCTTCTGCTGCATATTTGTTGGGTGATAGGTTCTTGGTTAGTTCCTTGCTAGACCAGAGTACCTTATTGCTTATTCTTTCTGGCCATTTGATCTTCATTATCGAGCGTAGGCGGCACCTGTTGACGAATGTCTGTAGTTTGTTGGAAGTGCTTTTCGTGACACGCCAAGTTTCTGAACCATATAGCAGCACTGACCTGACATTGGTGTTGAAAATCCGGACCATGTTCACTCTTTATCCTGAGTGAAGTAGATCTCCACATTGATTTTAGATTAGTGAAAGCCTGTCTTGCTTTTCGATCCTGGTTTAGACATCGTCTGTGCCTGTGCCACCTGTAGTTGAGACGATGCTGCCTTGCCAGGCTGGGTAGGTGAAACAGACTACTTCTTTTCATCCGTCAGCCAATCTTCTTGCTCCTCACTGTTTGCTGCATGGTCCAGTCCACCACAATCAGCAAGATCATGGTTGATAGTAGGCAGCCTTGTCTTACTCCTGTCCAAACTTCAAAGGCATCACTGAGCTTTCCATTGTAGATCAGTTGGCATGCGGCCTTTTCATATAGTTTTTGAATGAGGTCGATAAAGGTTTGTGACACTAAAACCGTAGTATTGAAGCAGCTGCCTGCCAAATTACTTTTCAGTAGACGCTGTCGAAGGCCTTTTCAAAGTCGATGAAGTTGAGGTAAGGTAGGGGGTTGACTGCCATTCTATGCTCTGTTGTATGATGATGCGTAGAGTAGCGTTGCAATTTGACCCCCACATGATTTGTACTTCCTAAATCCAGTCAGCCTATTCCGTTCGTAGTTTTGAATCCATCTCACTTTTTAGTCTCTCCAGGATGATGAGGCTTAATATTTTGCTTCGGGTGGAAAGCAGCATGATTCCTCGCCAGTTCTTGCAAAGACTTTGGTCGCCCTTCTTCGGGAGTTTGACAAGGTATCCCTTCCTCCAATCGATCAGCAGGTACATTACTTTCCTTCCAAACCTTCTGCAGTAGTGGCGTGAACATGTCTGCTGTTGTCTCTGCGTCTGTTTTCAGTGCTTATGGCGGAATTCCACCTGGTCCTGATGCTCTCCTGAATTTCAACTACTTTATGGCATTCAAACTTTACTTCTGCTTTTCTCGGAGGGCCTGTTTTCGCTGGTAGTTCTACTGTTGCTGGTGGTATTTCCGGACGAGTTGCAGGTGGTGGTCGATTGAAGAGCTTTTTGAAGTGGTCGTTCAATCGTTTCCTTTCTTTCTCTTCTTTGGTAATTACATTTCCCTCATCATCTTTCACTGGTTTCATCTGTGTTGATCTCTTCCTAGACAGTAAGTAACCTAGTTATTTGATACAATGTTGTCAGGTCTCTGTCTCTTCTACCTATGGCCTGCAGCCTGCTCTGCTTCACTTGCCAGTGTGTTGTGGAAGTGTCTTTTGTCTTTGCGAGCACTCCTCTTCACTTCTTTGTCCAGTGTAGTGTTTTGTACATTGTACTCAGTTTCTCTTTTCGTTGTGAATCCTTGCACTGCACTGGTTCATTTTCTGCTTCAGCATTCCTCCTCTCCCTCCTCTATCAGCTTCCATGTGTCCGTCGACATCCATTCCTTATCTCCTTTCTTCTTCCTTCCTCATACGGTTACACAGGTTTCTTCTCACATAGCTTTCAAAGAGTTCCAGTGTTCACCCACACAGATTTCTTCAAGGATGTTGTTCGATATCTCCCATTTTACCTTGATGGCTAACGTGAAGATTTCATTTGTAGTTTCGTCCTTCAGTTTTCGAGTGTTGGACTTGAACTGTGGTCTATCACCAACTTCCTTGAAGACTTTCAACTTGATTTGGAAGGCAGGTTCCTTGCACTAGATAGTGGACTGAGCCTACATCCACTCCCCCTTCTTGATCTTGTGTCAAGTAGGCTGCGTCTCCACTTTCTTCACATTGAGTTGAAGTCCATCTGATTTTTAGTGTGTCCTAATGTCTGGTGAAGTCCATGTCGCTGACTTGTGGATATCCTTGTGCTTGAACACACTGCCTGACTCCAATCACCAAATCGTTGAATGCACAGAATTCTGCAAACAATTCTCCATTCTCATTCATCATTTCACCGAGTGCTTCTCGACCCATGATCAGTTCTATTCCTGTGTTTTCCGCTCCCAGTTTGGCATTCATGTCACCCATTAGAATTTTTAATGTCGTCAACTGGGGTGGAGTCTTGTATAGTACTGATTGCAGTTGTCTCTAGAATTCCTCCTTCTTCTCCTCATCTGCATTATTTGTTGGTGCGTAGCATTGAATAATTGTGACTTTCCTTCATTTTGAGTTGAATCTTGCTGTCATAACCCTGATCCTGCATGAGGAGATTGGTTCCCACTGCATGAGAGGCTTCGATACTGTTGGGGACATCATGATAGCCACTCGAAAACTCAGTGTGCTGGTGGTTGTCATCTGGGTGACAATATAGGAGTAGATTGTTGACTCTCCATTTGACAGTTTGGAGAGTCCACTCCCATTCCATCTACTTTCGCAAATTCCTAACACTTCAAGCTATACCTTCTCATCTCCTTTGCAATCTGTGCAGCCTTGCCAGCTAGGTTCAAACATAGCTTGGACATTCCATGTCTTCACGTTTACTTTTGCTTTTGTTGAGAGAATGGAAGACATATCGGCCAGTTGGCTTGCCGAAGTCTCTCACCAGCCGGCGTCATTTCGCCTCTCCGATTCCAGCGAGGAATGATTTCGCTTTTATTTTTTATATTTAGCCTGTGCTTTGAAGTTTGTTAAGCGGTTGAATTGGTTTTACGAGGTAGGGTTTCTAGTCGTATGACCATTCTTCATTCTTTAGCGGGGCTTAGGAGCGGCTACTAACTAGTGAAATAGTTAACCAGGCGAGGTTACGAGTATTTGATATGCCTTGTCAATCAAAAACTATACTCATCAGAGCAGCCTAGCCAGTTTTTCATTCTTTTATTTCCAAGGTAATCGTCTTACAAATGCTTCGATTACGGCTGTCAGAAATTCTTGTCAATTGGAACGAGGATATTAACGTCATTGGCCACACTAGACAAAATATTGAGTGATGACCTCCGAGAAAGTTATTATTTCTTGAAACAAGATGAAGCTTTGAAAGATTAATCATAGATTAAACAAAATGATATTCAAACAATCCAATAACACAAGGATTCAAGGATTTGAAACTATCATGAAATGGAATGTAAATCATGCGTGAACTAACAAACGTCACATCAGCATTAGAGTTCTGTATATCTAACAAGACGGAAGTTTATCATGCATAATGGTGTATTCTTCATAAAAATTATGAAATAACCATTTCATTAGCGTTATGATTTCAAACAGTCACAGACACATTCAACACGGGAAGAAATACAACTTCGGAATGCAATGAAATCATTCTACTTCAGTGGTTTTCGGTTAGTTCCATAAGAAACTAAGCGTATGAAATCACTTATACACCATAACTTGTAAATAGGAGTCTTATTCCGAACTAAAGTGACAGTTTGGAACATACTGTCATGTTCTTAAATCTAGATCTTATGTCTTCTGCAGGGAAATTCAGTTTAGTGTAACAAACCCTTTTAAACATTCCAATATACGTCTATTTGCCAGCAATCAGCGTTACGTCTAACAGTCAGTAACTGTCAAAGCCATTAGTTTATTAAAGTAACTTGAAGCAACTTTAGAGGATCTGATTGTGAGTTGCATCTCACCTGAGACGGTAGACGAAACTTCTTGTTTACTCAGACCACAGAAGACGAATTACATGTGAGTTTGCCTTCCAGTTGCTTGGTAAGGGGATGCCTGGATAATTTTACTGTAGTCACACATGGAATAACTTAAAATTGAATTAGCACTGACTTCTTGGGAGGGTGTGTTAAGCTTTAATAAGATCATCATAAATGAAAGTACTGAAGTATAGACAGTGTACGCACACCGACTCCTCCAGAAATGGAACCAGTTGAATAAAAACTTCAGTAAAATAGATGAAACCGGTACATTTATCATCTATATGTTATGCTGAAAGTTGCTTTTTGGTCGATGAAATATATGGTAAGAATTCTAAACTGAAACTAAAGGCAATACCGGAGCTTCCACTTAAGAGCTTCCTAACTCGGTCCAATCAAAGACGAGGTATTACAAGCAATAAACTAAAAATTATGCCTATCTCACAAGTTGTATCTATCGTGACTCATGTGGCCTAGTGGATAACGCTTTGCCATTTGGAACGATCTATTCTGAGTTCGACTCTGAGCAGGAATAAAATCACTCCGTGGGAGGCAGGTACATTCAGGTGACGATTCCCAAATAGAATGAAATGAATGTCGTCGATTCCACTGCTAGCCACGCGATTCATCATTACTGTCAATTTTAGTTTATGCTATCATACTACTTAATGTTAAAGAAAAGTGCATGACAGTACGTGTTTTCAGCTCGTTTTGACTGTTTCCTTGTAAAACTATACCGTAAATGATAACCAAAGGGATATCGACAACGCCTACCGTAGGAATGGTTGGTTAGAGGCGAGTGACAGGAAGCCGTGGACTTAGGTTTCACGATTGTTTGCAGTCGTCGGGAAAGCGTATCTGCAACCTCAATGGAACTGATGGTTGTTTGAGATTCGAATTTGCGTCACCCATTGTTATAGTCAGTGACTTTACCAACGAGCTATTCAGGTCGTTAGTGTTAGTTACTGTATTCGAACAGTTTGATAGTAAACCATAAAGACAAGCTTATCTTTTTTTCCCCGCTAAACTCACAAAATTATAAATGAGCTAGCTAATGATTACTACTGTGTTACATGATTCAAAACTCAATGTAATCTCATTTGTGAATTTTTGTGATTGTATAAGCATAGAATATGTGAAGCATGAAAATTATGACTCTTTCGAACAAAATGCAAATATAATGAAACAGAGAGTTGTATACCTCTTCTGTGTCAGTAAGACAAATAAATGCTTGTGTGTTATCAAGTGAGTGTTATTTGGTGTTTAAGAGTTGCACAATTGGTCTCTCTCTCTCTCTCTATCATATGATCTACTGTAAATTTATCGATTCTTCTTATCTACTCACCCCCTTATTCAAACATGGTTATATCGTTCATTTTTTGTAATATGCTGTCTACATGATACCTATATGTGTTAACATACCAATGCATCTCATTACACAAATACACACACATACACATAGAAGTATTGAGACATGTGTATAACCAACTCATCGATAGGTTTCTCTGCCAAATCAATGGGAGGTTAACCAGTTAACTATAGATGATCAAATTTATAAAGATGCACACATTCATTGTTTCTTACCTATAAATAGTGTTTCAGTTATTATTATTCAATAAAACACAAAAGTTTCAACTAAACAGACTAACTATCTATACTACTTAATTATTATTTTTATTTACAATCATGGCGAGTACAATGGAACAGTTTATTACAGCATATCTAACAATTTGTCGTGATGGTGATGATGTTGTTGATAAAAGAGAACTTATAGATTACTGTAGAAAAGAAAAGATAGATACAAAAATGGTTGATGTAAGTCAATTTTAATTGATTTCTTTTCATTGTTTTATTGAATTGATTCATTGATTCAATGATTATTTTATCTCTTAGAAAATTGAATATGGTAAAGTTTGTCGAAGAAACAGTTATTTTTTTTGATAGATAAATTTAGTTTTGTTATAAGTAGGGTTGATATGACGGAACTTATTTCAACTAATGTCTTCAGATGGTCAATTGATAGATAAATTAAACTATTAACAGTGTTTGTCATTCAGTATAGGGTTTAGATTGCAGAATGATGATCACTACTGTATCCAAAGTATGACAGACATGTTTAAAAGTTGCGTGACATGGTCATAAGTGTCCTGAATAACACGAATCCTAATCCCTTTTTGACAGTATGAGATTCTTAAATTTTGTTGATAACCCCCCTGAAGAAGAATTTAAATATTTGATAACATATTTGTTAATAACTTTGAAAGATAGTGTCTGATGACTTTTAAAAACGGCGAAACACATTGTTTGAACTTTACAACAAGAAATTAGATAAACAATAAAAGACCTTTATACTGTGATTGAGAACTTATACTTTCATTTAGTTAAATCAAAATAAAACTGAATCTAAGTAATGTTATATTATTATACAAAACCATTCGGAGATATCATCGCCAGGCCAGGCGGTAGAGTGGAATTCAAAGAGGAAACGACGGTGGCATGGAGGAGATCGTGTGAGAAAGAAACGGAATCTTGTGGGTAGTGGTGGGGCAAGGTTGAAAAGCCTGCAGAGAACAGAGTGAAATGGAGACGTACTACTGAAGCCTTATGTCCCACTAGGAACCCAAGGAACAAATAACAATCATAACATTATTATTGTTATTACTGTACAACTGGCTACTAAGGCTATGATATAGTTTTACGAAATCTTTCATCAAGAAAAGTCTTCATTCTTCATTATTTTTTCCTCTTGAAATTATCACCTTTATTTAGACATGGATTTCACATTTCGATGTCGATAAAGATAATAAAATTACTCTAGAAGAATTTTGTCGTGGTCTAGGATTGAAACCAGCTGAAATGTAAGTGATTCTGTTATTCATACAGTAATATTGTGTTTAATTGATTTAAACTAATGACAATAAACATTTTGATGAATAGTTTAGTTAGTTATTCTATTTCACCGGTCAAAAAATGATCTTTTTAACCAGAAAGTGATATAGTGTATCGAAAGGTAGTTGTAATACTATGAAGAACTTTGATCTAGGGTTGAAGAAAATAATGATTCAAAATATTGGCTATTCTCAGAGTTGTTATTCTTGTACATGGAACATTTTACTCTACAGTTAAAACTTAATTGTATTATGTCCTTTGAGCTGGGTTGTTTAATCGTGAAGCTTTCATCGTCATGCTAGACAACATCACCAGCCCTAACTTCAGAATGAAATTAGCTGTCAGTACATCTCCCTTCAAACCTTACTATGCAGACCAAAGGATGCAACAATCAATGAAGATAAACCAAATATCATCTACAAAATCAACTGCAATAATTGTGATCAACACTACATTAGAGAAAGTGGTCACCCTCTTCGCCTCCGTCTACATGAACACCAATTGGCTACTAAACATCACGACAATTCATCATTCACTTCAATGCATGTGGATAACAACTACGAACATCAGTTCAATTTTGACAATGTAGAAATATTGAACGGAGAGAGGAAATACGAAGAATATCAGAGAATTGCTAGAAGCTTGACATTCAGGTCAGTCAATCGGTAATCAACAGATGTATAGAATTAGACCCAATCTATCAACCAGTAAGAAAAAATGACAAATGACAAAAGGATTAGAGATCAAGTAGAGGAACAGCCAACGGGATAATCTATGCAGTCAGTGACAAAACAATTAAAGGGAATAACCACTCACAAATCAATTGGTCAGGGCAAGCTACTGAATCACTACTCATGGAGTCAGATATTGACAGCCTACTTCACACTGAAGTTATTGGTGATGAGGTTGTCTAGAAAGAGGTTGAAAACTTCCCGACTGAACAACCCAGCTCAGAGTACACAATACAACGAAGACCATCTCCAAGAGCTACAAATATTCTCCTTTACAGTTAAAACTCTATACCAAATAAAATGAATAATTAACTGAAGGCAGGCAGTTTATGATATCAATAACTTTTATCATTACTTGTCTCATTCAGTATTCTGATAAGGTTTAGAATGAGAGTGAAAACATAAAAGTTATTCATATTAAAGCTAATGATGATGATGACATTGTCAAGAAAGGCAATGAAAGCTGTAAATAGCTTCTGCTATTGTCGAATTGTCCGTTTTTCTCGACATGAAATTATCGGCACATTTTCCGCTGTGTTACAATTTCAGTTAATTAGTATAGAGAAAGTGATTAGTTTCTTGTTATATATATATATCATACTTTTGTAAGAAAGTAAGAGTTGAACAAAGAAAAAACTAGCATATATCTAAACATTTATAATACTCGATAACTAGATAATCAGAAGTAGGTATGCTTTTAAAGTATATCAGTATATACTACTGAAAAAGAAGAATGATCTCAGTAATAAAAAGAGATTCTTGATGATTTTTTTTCAGTGATAAACTATGATTGTCAGGTATGAATATCTCAACAAAAACATGTAATTTTAATACTACTCTAGAAAAATATAAGTAGTATTTAGTATATAGAGTTCACTTTCTCTTGAATATTTTCAATTAAACCTGTTAATTATTTAATTATTATAGACTTCAATTTCATTGTTAACCTAATCGAAGAATACAATTTCTTATTGCCTTATTACATTAAAATAATGTTATGAAACCATATCATTTACTGAATAATATTCTGGATAACATTTACTATCTATGAGTATGACTTTAAAAGACATTCCTGTAACTACTGAATTAACCAATCATATTTCAGCATTTCACCTGAGATGATAACCTTTTAGTAGTTATTTAAGGGACTTTTAAAGATATTTTTATCAGTTAGTTTATCATTTTTGATATGAAATCTTTGATAAATAGATCATAGTTAATTAATAACTTCTTGGTATTAATTACATTGAATATACGATGGTACAATAGGTAACTCATTCTAAGAAATAAAATAATACATTATCTTCTTTATAAAAAAAAATATTTCATTCACTGATGTTCATCACTTTTTCTATTCAATTTATTTTTAGGCGTAATGAACGAACTCATCTTAAAACAGTTCAATCTGGTAGATCACCTAAAATACCTGATGGAATTGAAGTGATCGCTTCAACAATGCCTTTACCAAAACAAGTTGAAGTTGTTCAACTGTTTAAAGATATCGTTACTAAAACAGGTGGAACTGATCCAGATATGCGTAAAATTGCTAATGATTTTAAAGTTAAATTAGAAGAACGATATGAACGTGTTTGGCAAGTAGTTATATTAACTGGTTCATATTGGATGAATTTTTCACATGAACCATTTCAATCACTTCAATTTAAGCATGATAAACATGTTGTTCTTGTCTGGCGTACACCAAGCAATTGAAATAATTGAAAAATACTATCCAATTTAAGTAATACTAGTAAATACTTCAGAGATTATCGAATCTCTTTTTATACAACAATGAGCAAACCATTTATTCTTTCTTTACAAAACACAAAAAACGAACTACCCTTCTCAAATATGCGTTCATGCTTATGATACTATTCATAGTATTAATAATAAAATAATTTTTCTTAAAAATTATAAAATTAGTGAATATATATTTTATATATTTAAAATGTTATTCTGTTTTTTTTAATTTTTATGATCTGGTTAAAAGTATTAAAGAGAAGGTTTTCCACTCAGATCATGATTAACTGAGTGTAGAATTAGGTTGAGTTATGTTAGTTAGTTGGAGGTGATTGGCAGGTAGCCCTGGACATAGGTTCCTCACTTATTGGTACTCATCAGTAATATGTATCTGCCATTCCAACAGAAATGTTATCGTACCTGAGATTCCGACCCGTGTTATCCACTGCTGCAGTGAGAGAGGTTACCACTAAGCTATACAGGTGGAGGCTGACCTTCAGTAGGACTGGATTACATACATTGATAGGCCGTTGAACCTAGACAAAACTCCGGTGACCAATCAATGTATGGGCTGAGTTAGTCAACCAATGCCATGATCCAAAATGTTGGGACTAAGTGCAGGATCATTATTATCCATGAGTTCACACATACACTTTGCTACATATTCAATAAAATCGATTGTTTTCAACTAAGAGCAAACACTCAACTACTTGATTGACGATTATTCATTGAATCATTTTCTACTTGAACCAGTTCACTAGAAGGTTAGTCACCGTTGGGATAGCTTTATAAAACGTTTATGACTACATAAGTGAATAATATGGAATTGAATTTTAGATGGAAGATCACCTTCATAACAGCTGAACAGAAATCTTTTACACAGTTCAGTATCGAATATACAACTGTAAGAACTAAGAGATATAAATCTTTGTTGTAGAAATTATTCAGTTGCATAAGGAGATTTTAAAAACTTCGACCATGAAGTGACAAACAATTTAACGTCTTAAATACTCAAGTTTCCCTAATTTTCTCTATGAGTTTGAAGTTCGATAGGTAAAACTTTAAACTTCAATCTATGTATTAACTTGATGTCCTAGAACTAACTCAAAAAAGAATTTGTAATACTCTTTAGCTGTTTTTCTTCAAACAATATCTAAACACAGATTTGTTTATTTTCAAAAGGACTCATATTTTGTGAACACGAAACAACACTATTTTTTTAGGGACAGACATCATTATAGATCTAAATACTACCTTCATGCGTGTCACAAAAATACCGCTTAAGGGTTTACTGTATATTCCTGTTATAAGAGTTGCTGTCGGTGATTTTCTCTTTGCGATTGACTACTAAATAATTTCACATTTCTACTTACCTATAAACAAGTGGCAGATTATATATGAGTATACGTTATTGACAGATATACTTCTAACCCATACATGAGTAGCAGCTTTCAGTCTTCGCAAAGACCGGATGTATAGCTAATAGATATCAAATTCGAGACGAAACTATGGGCATCTATCCTATACTCATTCTGATGATAACTTCCGTACGAATCATTTCACTAGTCAAAATATTGGATTCACTTATCGTCCTAGTTATCAGTGACATTTGAAAGAGTACAAGAAAAATAACCCTATTCAAGTACAATAAAATTATCTGAATATCTAAAGACATAATGATTAGGAATGTGAATTCTCTAAATGGAGCAAAGCATAGAGCCAACAATGCTTATCTAAATATGCTGGTAGTGATTCATCTTTCGTCGATCAAAAAGCAACAACAACAACAACACCATACCACTAAACGTATGAAGAAATTTTGTTATGTACTACATGTTTGTATGTGTATGCGTAAAATATGAGAGGTAACTGTCAACTTGACCTAATTCTAGGCTACAACTAATAATATAGCCAAGTATTTCACTTTTACTATATCTGTTTATGCTTATGTATAGGAGTGAAATCTTATGAAATACAAGGTATGTGTGGCTACACATACCAGTAGTAAAAAATGCCTACACAGTCGTTATAAGTAAAAATGTAGTGCTGCTCAAGAGCCTTGGAACAATGGTTTCTGTAATATTGATCATAGTGAGTATCAGAGGAATCCAGGACTCATGTTTTGCCCTACTTAGGACTCGCCAGCTGGATGTATCAGCAACCCAGTGAGTAATATTGTTCCTGCTGAGGTTCAAACCCAGTGCCGTGTGCTTCAAACACCAGAACGTTATCCATTAAGCCACTGGGACACTATAGTCAGGTCAATCAATTCGACCCTGTATAGCAACGTGAAATTAAAAGTATCATTAAAAAAACTGATACCCGTTGCACAAGTGGTAGCTATCGTGCCCCAGTGGCTTAGCGGATAGCGCTCTAGAGTTTGAAGTGAAGGGTACTAATTCTGAGCCTCAGTAGGAACCACATCACTCCCTGGAGTGTAGGTACATCCGGCTGGCACCAAGATCAATATAACATTATGAATGTCGGGCAGTAACGAGGCATCAGCATAAAAGCGCATCTACCAACAGAGGTCGAGCAATTTGGTCCTGTATAGGAACGGGAAACCACAAGTATCATTACAATGGTTTTCGTAATTTATCAGCTGTATACAGATTCATGTGTTAGATTAGCAACCACTGATATACTATTTAACTGGTTGGATCTTCACAGATAGTGTACTCTTCATACTTCTGAACAACTAAGTAGACGTTCACAGATAGGAAAATTATTCTAAGGGTGAATGCTGCTTGATTTTATCCATGACACAGTCGAATTCACCCAACTATTCATTAAGTAACCGTTTGGCATACTACTTTAAAAATCTTAGTTTCCACACTTTATACTTTTAGGAAGTTAGACGAGCGTGCATGTATTTCATTCTATAAAGTGGGGTTTCAGGAACTTAGTAACATTAATAATAAGTTGGCTGTGGTTTGACTAATTGATAGTAGTGATACCGAGTAATGAGTGAAGATGAAATAAAAGCCTAGGTTGCAGGATGATTCATTTATAACCAATATGATGCTCCTCATCTCTGATTCAGGTCGATTTGGATCTGAATGAGAAGTACTGGTTGAACAGCCAGCATGATTATAATGAAAGGACAGTTGTGTGCCATCTCATGACCAGGTCTTGATTCCACACCAGCGAGGCAGGTTCCGTAGCTCAGTTGGTACAGAAACGAGGTGATAACCCTGAGGCTACAGGTTCGAATCCTTCAGTGACACAGGCTTTCATCTCATCGTATGGATTCAGGTTGCACTAACGTCTAGGTGAAGAACCCACTCGTTTTCTTAGTCAGCTTCTTCCGGATAGTTGTTTATTTATTTACTTTTTGATATGAGTAGTTTAATACTAAGACTTAAGTTCCTATCAAGAAAATAGTTAACTTCACGTATACAGATAATCAGAGAGTGAACAAATTTAGGCAATGGCCTATGAAATACCATGTCAGATTTCCACGCTCAACTATTTATCAAGATGTTTAGTCTGTATGTTATACCTCGATCAACTTTAAAACACTTGGTTAGCTTCTAACTGAACAAGTGAAACCCGAAAAGACGCCATTATTGCTATTTGTGATATAAGAAACAGTTATATACCCCTAATTTTGTTGAGCGTTTGGTTGATGTTTGCCTATGACCCGACATATGGAAGCGAATACGGAAGCTATTAACCTGGCAGCCTCTTCGGAGGACTGGAAAGTCAGTCCAGAAGCCTCAGTTAACGGTGCATGGTTCTCCTTCAAACAGTTATATGCACGAGTGACCCAACCGTTCATTCCGTGAACTGTCCCAAGGGAACGGAAACACTGTCCTATATGGATAAACCACGAAATTCGAATCTTGCTACGACGTAAGAAAAAATGTTGGAGTCTTGCCATCCACTTTGGTACACCCGAAGTGGTGAAGCATTACAAAGAAGCCCACAATAAATGTATCGCTGCTATCCGCTGGTTTCGAATATGCTTTGAAACACGTCTTGCCCAGGCTGCACTGCAACATTCGAAGAGGTTATTTTCCTGTATGAACTATGGTAATAAGATGTGTCGTGGTATACCCGCCCTAATCAATGGGACAGAAAATGACTGTTTGATTGAGGAAGATGGGGAAAAAGCAGAAGCTATGGCTGAATATTTTGTTGGGGTCTTCACACAGGAATCTTTTGTGGACACTTGTTCAACAGTAGAAACATTGACATCCAGCAGAATAAACTCCGTGGATATCGATCGAAATGATATATTTCGGATATTCAGTAATCTCGACTTGGAGAAATCAACGGGACCGGATGAGGTGCACCCAAGGCTGATTAGAGAGCTTGCACTCTATGTAGCCGACTCACTGACTACTATATTCAGACGGTTTCTCAGTGAAGGCACACACCCGTTTGACTGGAAAGATGCCATAGTAACACCTATTCACAAAGCGGGCTCTAGGTAGTTCCCATCAAATTACAGACGATAAGCTTGACTAGTACTGTAGTGAAAATCCTAGAAAGAGTAATCAAGAAAGCCATCATAGTGCGCCTACAGAGCAACACTCTATTTTCGCGTTCATAGTACGGTTTTCGTAGAAATTTCTCTTGCTTGACGAACCTGCTTACAGTCAGAGAAAGTTGGGTTAAGTCTGAAGATGATAGAATACCTGTAGATGTCATTTTAATCGACTTTAGTAAGGCGTTCGACAGAGTACCTCATTCCAAGTTGTTTGGGAAACTGGAAAGTTTTGGAATCACTGGCAGTCTGCTCGCATGGATTAGAAACTTTCTTGTTGGTAGGAGACGAAGACTTAAGATCAGTTCTCAACTCTCCACTTGGAAGTCGATAGAGAGTGGAATGCCGCAAGGCGCAGTCCTGGGCCCCCTGCTGTTTCTCCTATGCATAAATGAGCTGCCAAATATCACGAAATCCCAATGGTTCTCTACGCTGATGATGTAAAGATCTGGCAGGAAATTTAGAACGATGAAGTTATACGTGGGCTTCAGGCAGACCTGAACAGTTTGTTTACCTGGTCAGAGAAGTGTCTGGTGCTTATCAGTGCAGGTAAACGTGTGAGCATGCACTTGGGGCACGCACACAGAAACATCTAAGATATTAATGGGAATGCTTTAGCGTCAGTATTGACTCACAATGACCTAGGAGTCAGGGTTAGTTATGAATTGAGAACCACGGCTCACTGGCGATTGGTAGCAGCTCGGAGTTTTAGG